TTTCCAAATTTATTCCATTGTATTATACTCTTTGAATAACATCTTCGAACCCTAATTTTTCTGATTACAGCTTATAATTTTACTACATCTAGCACTACGGGATTTGAATCGGTCACTGCATCTCTGTGCTAATGTGGTGTGGCAACTCGAACTGATGTACGTATGTACGAAGTTATACGTTGTTACTGACTGACTTCAACTGGGAAGAACACAATTTTTTAACGCTAGATTGTATAGTCATTTCCAATGATTATCAAGTCTTAGCAAGTAAAGTCTCTTTTGATCGGAAGGTTATGTATAATTCTTTAATTGGAGCTATTCCGTTAGCTATATTTATTAATGGTAACTTTGCAAATTAACAATTACTGTGTAAACACTTTTTTTCATTTATCAGGATACCTCTGATGAATCTCAAAACATCGGTAGGAACTCTATTTTGCCTGGTGATAAAAATAAAAAAAACTCGTCTATATTCGGTCCAACTGAAAGCAGTGTTCGGATCGTGCTAAGTGGAAACTCAAGTGGATCAAACCAAGTGGTCAAAGAAAGACCTATATGGATGTCTGACAGCACCATAAGTCTCAACCCAACTCCTGGCAAGTGTTCCTCATTATTAGACTGCGTTATTTGCTTCAACACCACTTTTTGGTGGTTAATATAGTAGCAAGAACACATTTTATATTTATTTGTCATAGGAAATCAATATAGCTTTTAGTTGAATATTGAGTGAGTATATTTGGTTGAATGTGCCTCATTTTGTCGCAACTCCAACTTACATTTTATTTATTATACTTATGACGAATTAATTTTGCTTCCTATACTGTTTAGGAATTGGGAATACGGATTCACAAGTGAATATATTTTCAAATGCATCCGATTTTCATTCGAACCATACTCCTGAAGACGCTATCACTCAGACTCTTGCCCCTGGGAGAGTGCCCTCTGGATTTGGTAGTAACTTATCCAATTATGTTACAGCTAGTGTTTCTCACAACAGGCTAGCGGATACTACTACCTCGGAAACTAATCTAATGACGAATACGACTGGTGGGACCAATGCAGCTTCGTCTAATGATATTATGCAATTACTACTTGTACATGAGCGACGTGGTCTACTCACCCGGAATTCCGCTAAAAATGTTAGTGTCCCAGGTCAGTTCAATATATTAAATACCGTAAATATATTATTTCTAACCTCGGTATTTATTAATATTACTGTTTTTTCCGCATAGGTCGCAATAATGCACATAAAACTACACTTGCCCAACCCGATCCCCTGGTTAACACGGGTAAGTTTTGGTTAGTTTAGGGATTTGCTTTTATTAAAAATTGGATGACAAAATAAAACCATTAAGTGATGAAAAGAGGAAGATAATTCAGCAAAGAAATTTTTTTCATATCATTTACTGAAGCTCTTGAATCGTATTCATAGTTAACTAGAATAGTGCATCATATAAAAAGTGTTCGAACGTGTTTTCAAGTATCGAGAAATCATGTAGTAGACAAAAGTGAAAATAGATTACGGATAAAATATAATTGTCAACCTAAATAATATTAAGCAACTGTGAATATATAACAGTATTGTGTGATAGACTGTCTGGAAGTATAAACTATAGAGTTATGTTGTGATATACCTTACCGGTATATCACAACATAACTCGCTCTTTGTGTTCTCCCAAATTCTAATCTCTTGAATCCTCCTTGTCTCTTTTTCCTCTTTCCAAATTTATTTCACTGTATTATACTCCTTGAATAACATCTTTGAACCCTAATGTTTCCGATTACTGCTTATACTCTTACCACTTCTACCACTACGGGATTTGAATGGACAACAGCATCTCTGTGCTAATGTGGTATGGCAACTCGAACTGATGTACGTACGTACGAAGTTCTACGTTGTTACTGACTGACACAGAAACTAGACTAAAATCAATGCCTTATAAGTTCCTAATTCGTAATCCTCTTGAATCACTTTTATGACTGTAAAAGAAGATTCTGGTGAGGCGACGTGATCAAGGTTTATGAGGTGTTCAATAATCGAACTGCTGATTGATTTTAGTAATCCTTTCCACAACCAAGCAGGTAGTGCTTGGAGGTGGGTTTTGAGAGAGTTCGCATTATGTTGTCGATGTAACCTGCTCCATTGGTTGATTTCTAGCACTCATTGAACTCTTTCAGGTTGTCTTTAGGTTCGGGATTTTTGTAAAAGCTTATGAAAGTACCATTCAAATATTTCTTACGTAGATATAAGCTTACGACTGTAGGCTTAGATATAGTGTTTTCTAATTGTCTACAAAACAATCAGCTAGAAGTCGGTTGAGCAGTGATTCTGTTACTGTATTGATCTGTTTATAAAACTCACTATTAAATCTAAAATGAACGTTATAAGTACACCGAAGAAGCGATTCCTGCAGATAATATTTCAAAAGACCAACATCGACATTGTTGCATTCAACATGGTTACGTACGAAACTTTTTTTTCGTAGGAGGAACATTTGTAGAGAGGGAAGTAGTAGTAACTAATGTTCCCATTCTTTTACAGTTTCGTTGTTCAGCGGTATTTTTTAAGGACTCTAAAAGAAATTTCAATTCCAATAAGACGAATATTTTCTGATATAGTCTAGAAAACCCGTTAGAACCCCTATTTGGTCAATTCGTCTGTAAGATCCTTATTTCTCAGATCAAGTAATTGGGGTTTGTGTTCTCTAAAAAGTAGGCCTTTAATTGTCAGGTTTGTTTGAATAATGATTGCAAGTCTCCAGGGGTAGTTTTGAATTCGGAAACTTCCCTATTAGTAGCTGCCTTGTTTTTTCCCTATACATTATTATTGGGTTTATCTGACATTATAATTCAATGCAGTCAAATAAAGTATGTAATTCAGTCACGTGATTGTTTAAGACAATTTGCAAGCTCCACATTTAAAAGAAACCATGAGCACTTTACTGCTTAAACTTCAGGTTTATTGTTTTGATCTTAGAGTTCCTGGTAAGAAGTTCTGTTGAAACCTGTGTTTGATGCACGTAAGTTGGGTAAGCGATTTCAAAGACAAAAACATATGAGTCTTACATTCCTATGACAGTACTATATATACGACGGCATAGACATTATACACAGTAGTATCGAATGGATTATGACCTCAAATGGCTGGTAGCCGGTCACTATGTGCCCAAAAAACAACCAAGGGAATCCTGATTACTATGCTCTCTATTGATAATCTTCCTTTTTTAGCAGTTAAGTGTTGAGAAACGGTAAATCCATGTCCAAACCTGGTGTAGATGTATATTTCAACTGAAAAAAGTCATTAATATAAACTTGTTCTGAACTCCGACTGCTACCTTGGTGTAGTGGTGGGGTGTCTTTCGTCACAGTCCAACTGAGGTATATCGATCGTGATGCTTCTTTGTGTCCCAGTCAAATCGCTAAGATAAGGGTTAAACCGAAGTCGGTTTGTTTGAGTTCAACGGATAAAATCATAACTTTTGCTGTAACTAAGGTGTAGTGAAAGTGGTATTTCTTGAAAGCAGTCGACATCTGAGGCAACCAACCTCAGAAATCTGGCCCCTAGGCTCTGCATTGAAAATAATGATCGCCATTAATTTCTTCCGATCGCTCAAGGATAAATATCATACAACAGTTCGTACAATAGGACAGTGTTAACCACTCGTCTATTACCTAACTCCTACCTAACTCTGCTGTCACTAATATTCACCACTATCCTTGGCTGTGTCTTCTCTTTAATACGCACATATCGGTAAAAACGAGCTCACGAATCGTCCCTTGTATTCGATGACGTACCTTCAGACGGGATGTGGAAGCATTGTTTTGCTATTGTGTCAAAATATAAAATAAAACTAATTAGTGCATAAATAGTGTTATTGTTGTATTTTATAACTAAACCCACTAACCATAACCTGCGGCTAGATAGGTTTTAAGGCACGTCTCGAAATTGATTAGTGATGCAGATAAGCAATCTCATCCTGATATTAAAGTTCGGTAGTATTTCACTTCATCTTTTAACCTATATTCGCTTTGGCCAGACCAAAACATGGCACAAGTCCATGAAGTCACTGACAAGTGGGCTGAATCATGTTGGTAGGTGTAGACTACCTGGTTGGGGACCGCGAGATGATAGCAACCGATGGTTAGAGACCTTGAATGACATGGCTCAAAATCGTTTGCAATGGCGCAGGTGCATCCAATCTTTGTGTTCTCCCAAATTTTAATCTCCTGATTCCCCCTTGTCTCTTTTTTCTCTTTCCAAATTTATTCCATTGTATTATACTCTTTGAATAACATCTTTGAACCCTAATGTTTCCGATTACTGCTTATACTCTTACTACCTCTACCACTACGGGATTTAAATGGACAACAGCATCTCTGTGCTAATGTGGTATGGCAACTCGAACTGGTGTACGTACGTAAGAAGTTCTACGTTTTTACTGACTGACTGACTATATTCGCTTTTCTCCTACTATAAGTCTACATCTTTATTGTGTATCCTCTCAAATTATTCGTGCTGATGTTGAGTATGTGGTCTTGGGTCGATAATATTTGCCAAACATTGTGCTTGATTCGTATGAACTCAGTGTAGGGCACCAATACTCCGCCACTCAGGTGCTGGTTTACATTAACCTGCATACTATTTTCGCATAAGTGTATGATTATTTGCCTATTATGAATGGGAATCACAATTTTCTCGTTAACCAGCTCTGAGTTTGATAGACAGAAAAATTAAGCCACATGTCACTAGTACATTTTATCTGTAGTTCATGTTCAACTAGCCACTTTCAAAAAACCAATTCCTCTTTATTTTCTAGAAAATACGTCTGTGGACCTTCACTCAAAGAAGTTCGAGGTTACTGTTGGAGGTCAGCTTATGCTTTATACAGATGTAACTCCGGCAATGGTGAAGACAATGACTAAAGAAGAGCGTGAAAACTACGTGCGCGTTGGTAAGCTCATGTTCACCAACTTAATGCTCGAATAAAACGAAAATGAGCTTGTGTAAAATATAATGTATTATACAGATTCAAAAATACACGATGCTTAACATAGTAGTTGACTCATAAATTGTAAGAGGAAACACTAATTGAATGATAATTCTGTGTAGGGTGTGTATACAAAATGTTTGATTACTTTACAAATGTATGGGCGATGTCATACAGAAAGTAAGTTAAACCATCAATTATACCATCGAGTCCGGGTCATGATGACGATAACTACGACTGCTCATATTTCGACGTGAATGAATATATCGGTCTTCAACAGTTTGCGATGTTCGACGCGAATGCATTTCCTGATACCTATGCGGCATTATTCCTTGTCTATTACTAGATGATACAGCATGGGCTCTTTCGACAGGATCTTCATCGCTCATTATGTCATCATCTAGCTCAGGAACCAAATGTGTAGACCGGTGACTGCTTGGCATATGGCGGCGCCCTAAATGAGAGCGAGAGTGTCCATGACGTGAGATCGTCGACCCACCAACAATACCATACATTTCGTCGTCCATTTCGTCAGGATCATCTTCCTCTTCTACATCAATATCATGCATCATCTCATCTTCGTCATCCTCATCGTCCCGTAGGACATCTGCGGCCGCGGCAGCTGCTGCTGCCACTCCAACCGCTCCACTGCCTTTCCCACCTAGACTGCCTGGACCAGTTGATCCACCACTATGTATTAGCCCTTGATCATTATCGTCAATTGAAGCAGACGTATGGATGGCACTGGACGATCGTATTTGCGCCTGAAACCAAAAGTCATACAATGAGTCAGGATAAAAATTGTCAGGAAAAACTTGGTAGTCACTGAGTGACTATCAATTACTATGAGCACGACACAACGTACTCTTACCTTACTAGCTGCCTCAATTACGCGTTCCAGTGTGCGTCCAAATTCTTCCAGAAGTATTCGTTCTTGTGCTGCTGGAGGTAAGTCACGACGTTCTGCTTCATCAGCTTGCGCCAATAAACAACTAGCAGTTGCCTCGATTACTTCCCAGGTGAAGAACACATGCGGTAGGCTAAATTAGACACAAAAGGTCTCAAAACTTTACTACAATATAACCATGTAAATTGTTTATGACTCAGCGGAACAACTGTCTTTGTTCGGTCGGTCAAATTGTTTAGACATTTGAGGCCACTATCCAGTCTAAATAATTTATTTAAAAAAACTGGGGGAAATAAATAAGTTTGCTATTGATTCCTTATGATCTAATCCTTTTAAAACGAGCAAGCAACATGGTCGCCAGCGCTATTTACCCCAAATTTTATATCACATGACAATCAAGTTATTTAAACTAGAATAGTATTAGTCTCCAAGAGGGGATATTTGTCTAAGACTACATAACAAACATGTTACTGCAATAAGTCGGATCGTGACACGGGTACCAAGTATGATATATATGCTTAAGTCATAACATACGTAAAATATCAACCGGAAACTTGTAGACTTTCGATGTATTTTGTATAAAGACTCAATTTCAGATACTGAAACACCAGAGCGCATTAAATTTATTACTAATTCCTAAGGCTTGATTAGTACTGATACTCAAATTGGATTACAAAGTAACGCTACTTGTAATTCCGATCTTTATAGCTATCGCAACATTTGAAACACTGCCAAATTTCCGGACTAGTATACTAACAATAAATATAACACATTCGTCGTCAAAGGTAGGCTTGTGGCGACCCATTGTCTTATCAGTATTAGCGTAAACGTAAGAGAGATTGGGGACTAAAGAAGTGATACCTTCAACTAATGCCGGTCACATATTTGCACTATCTTTCTTACAATGAGATATGCTTCTAATTACTAACTTGTCTTTTTAAGTTGTTTAATGTTGTAGCAACTTCAAATAACTGGACGTTGTTATATTTTGTTACTTTGATACGTTAGTTATGAAGATAATGGATAATGGTTAGCATTACGATTGATAACTGGTCTTTATGAAGGTTAGATCTCTAAATGTTCTGTGTGATTCAATTGCTGTCATGTACAACATATCAAGTTTACACAGCGAGATCAAATTGTTAAGGCAAATCAGAGTAGTAGATTTAGTCATCTACAACGTAGTACCAGGCACATATATGCATCGGTCCAAGTTACCTTACCTCATTAGCACAAGATGAACATCAAATTCATAGCAGCTACTTCAATGGTAGTAATATATAAAAGAAAGACTGTGTATAAGGGTATAGTAAAGTAAGAAAGAATTAGTACGTAGAAAGAAAGATATGAAGCGAGTTTAGTCTCATAATTGACATGTTTTCGTTTGGCCACTCCTAACTTTCTTCCAACCATCCCCAACACTAGTCGGCATTGTACGTCGTGATAATCGGTGTTCAGGCATACACAACACGTGGCCCAACCATCTCAACCGATGAAGATTCACAACCTCATCAGTTGATTTACCATCATTCCCTAATACCCTGCGTCGAACCTCACTATTACTTACCCAGTGGCCCCAGCAGCTGCCAGCAATATTTCCATGGCGTCTGTGATCAAATACTAGTAAATTACGAATATCTTCTACTCTTAATGGGCACGTTTCGCAGCCGTAAAGTAGAACAGAACGAGCTACCGCACAGTGTACTCGTCCTTTAATTGATAAACGGATATCTCGTCTTCAGCATAGATGAAGTAAGTTGGCGAAAGCCAAACGAGCTTTTTGAATCCGTGCAGAGATTTCTTCAGACACCAACTTATCGAGGCTGATCAGACTTTCAGGACAAATAAAGTTGTCGACACGTTCGACTACTTCAATCCCTATCCTTAGTTCAGGTGTTGACGCAAGCCAGTCCTGAAGCAACAACTTGCATTTAGAGGGGGAAAAGCGCATTCCAAACATTCTGGCATTGTAACTCAGTGCTATCGAAAGACTGCATCTTATCAGCGTCTTCACCAAACAGGACTGTGTCATCTGCGTATTCTAAGTCAATAAGTGGACCTTCTGACAAGATATCTATGCCCGAGATGACAGCGTTAAATCCAGCAGTAAGTCTGTGATAAAACTGAACAAAAATGGAGATAGTGGAGTCTTGCTGGACACCACTTGAGGCTTCAAAGTCAGATTACAGTTCGCCACAAGCTCTATGTACTTCTGATGTACACCTTTCAATGACACACTGCAACAGAATCTCTCGGTTTACAGAATCAAATGCTACTTTTAAGTCAAGAAAAACTATCATTATCGGACGTCGATAAGCATGCCTGTGTTCTAAAACCTGACGAATGGTGAGTATGTGGTCGATGCAACTACGATCAGGCCTGAAGCCGACCTGATTTTCTCGTGTTTGCAGTTCACGAGTTTTTGTTAAGCATCCGATAGTTATCAGAGCTTATGTTTTATAAACTATATTAGTCAAACTAATCCCTCCATGGTTACCACGGTTTGATTTTGACCCCTTATATATTGGGATGATCAGTGATTGCGACCAGTCACATGGGACTACATTTAGTTCCCAGATTTTAGCTAAAATATTAGCCAACCTAGTCGCTAAAACTGAACCACTATAATTAAAGACCTCTGGAGCCAATCCATCTATACTAGCTGCTCTTCCTCGTTTCAGACTAGCGATAGCTCTTTTAACTCCAATTAAAGCTGAGGGGCCTACTTCAATGCTCCCTTCAGGCTGTTGAGAAATAGTGGGTAGTTGTAGAGTAGGCCAGCTGAACTCCTTAAAATGTTCCGCCTATCGTTCTGGACTGAGCAGATAAGTGTCGTGTTTTTCCGAGATCGTCTCACTTACACTTGACTTCTTAATTTCAGTTTATTTTATTAGTCTGAAAAGCTGTCTAGTGTTATCTATAGAGTAGTAGAAATAGTGACAGTATCAATATTAGTAGAAAATATATTTAGATAAAAATTATGGTGAGAGTTCAGGAACCAGGTTCTACAGGAGGACAAAGAGTGAATCCGTTTTCATTATTGAAAACGACTGAATTAAGGTACCCACAACTTCTGGTTACGATGAACACGTAGACGCTAAATAAGTAGCCTAGAGCTACTTGCATGGCTTGGTCCAATTGTGGATGGCTTTATGGACTGATACTACGTTTTGGTTAAGTCAACCCTAGCTTTTTTTCAGCCCACTATCACATCAGACATCGCCCATCGAGGTAAAAGATAGTTAGTCATATGTAACACAACTTTGACCGATGCATATGTGTGTCTGGTCCTACGTTGTAGCTGACTGACTGAACACATATCTCAACCACCTGTTGAAAATTCCCTAGGAATGAGTTGAACATATCTCTTACTATTTCATACTGCTCTGAGTGGATTTGCATGAATTAATTATTCATACAATCCAAAAATCAACGAAACGATTTATTGGACGGTCCTAATTTAGTTGAGTACATTTAGCCATGAACATAAGCCAAAATGATACTAACAACAATGAGGGAAATAGTATTCGAATTTGACAGCAAAAACTAATCTTAAGTTTGGAGTAATCAGCGTATACAACCACATATGATGACATCTTGTTAACTGTATGGCCATATTATTATAATAGCGCTATGGTATTCTTATGAGATTGTGCTATATACGGAATATATATAGTATAAAATGGAGGATTTTATGAGACTGTTATATTACCGGCCCCCATGTTTTTATGTTCTGAAGGATTCTGAACGCAGCATGTTTTAGATCAAGCGGTTCAGTTGATTATACTGTTCACTATGACGGCGCTTAGGGTCATAAAAAGCTATTCCATCACCACGATAGTGTGCTTGAATACTATGCATCTTTTGTTTCCACTCTAGAATTATGTTTTTATTATAATACAAACTAGTAACATTTATCACAACCAGCTTAGATGTATATGGAGTATTCATGTTTATTAAAGTTACTATTTAAATGTTATTTTTAAAATACTACGTAGTAATGAGACTTACGTTTCGGAAGGGGGTTTCACCAAATGTTTTTTGAAAGAAGATGGTTGTCTTGATCTTAAAGCTCCCATTGCAGCCAAGCGCATGAGTGAGCGCCTTTCTACGCTATCCTCTGTATTGCGGCAGCCTTGACAACGACATAGATCAGAGCAGCTTATCTTCGCTTCATAACACTCACAATAGTTTTTCAAACATCCTGAACGCTTGCAATTACAACCTTTAGTGTGCTTCCTTTCACCTTCTCCACGACCAATTTTTGGATGAAATGCTGTAGGATTACGTTCTAAAGTCATCTTAATAGCCCTCCCGCGCTCCTCTTCATAGGCTAGATTATTCATACAGTTATTGCAGTTACAATTTTGACAAAGCTGTCCCTGTGCAAAGCATTCGCAATAGAGTTTTAGACAATGTGACTTTGTGCAATTACAAGGTTTGCGTGAATTTGCTAAGCTTGAGAGAACTCCACCTGTGGCGCCTAGGCCACTCACTTGTCCAGGACCCCCTGCGGGACCACCCGGAATGGAAGAAATTAAGCTAGGGTTCAAATTCATAATCGGGTTTACAAATGGAGTAAACGTTTGGTTCATTGGCGTAGCGACAAATGTACCTGTTGCACCCAGAACTAAAAAGCCAAGTAATAACGATGAAACATTCGAATCAAGATTATTAAATTGCAAACATAATTCACACCATGATCCTAGTTGAACAACAGATGCATGGTTTCGTTTAGACAGAAACCACGGATGATGTGTCTTGAATTCCCCAATTACATTTCAGTGAGCTGACAGTGGTCAAATACTTCAATCCACTGTTCTAGCAATTAGAGAGTACCTATAATATCACTGACAATTATTATTATTAATGCTTACTAATGTATGTTTACGACGAATGCAATGAGACATCTGTGGTCGTCATTGGAACAGCGATATTAACTTCAATTTGATCAAGACCCTCGCACGCTTACTTTGCATAGACAAACACCACCAGAATATTCATATGGGAACCAAAACTGATGGCTTAAATAACTCGCTGGGTAAACAAATCGGTTTGTTGACGAATTTAGTGTTGAATTAATATCCATGACAGAATTAAACCTAAACATTTAATTCACCCGTTAAAATTCCCTCAGCTTATAATTCAAAATATTTGTTATCCAGACAACTGCCTAATTAATATGACGTTGGTGACGCATTACAAAGTTTGTTATCTCGCGAAATGGCAAATGAATCCTACATGTAGGAATATCTACACGTTTTACTTAACAGTATATTGTCCGAGACTAAGGTGGGTTTACGTTTCTTAGGTAAATTCTACAGAACCACTATTTTTGTCACCACTACTGCGACTACTGTGCAAAGGGCACATAGTAGGCTTTAAACAGACTGGTCACAGAATATAACTAACCTCTCGAAACAGGACTTGATGTCTCTAGAAAGTTATTGAATTCAAAGATCTTTTTAATAAGTTGATTTCAAATAAGAATCCATTCGACCAGCAACTCGCTTAAATGACATCACGATAGAAACATAAAATATCTGGAATGATGTTACCAATGAACTCCGGAAAAACTGCTGCTAGAGGAGGAGTAACGTTTCCACTGTAGCATCATTGGTAACAAAAACTACGTATATCAATCCGAACACTAGCTTATCTTACAACTTGTATACACTGCATTTTACAACTGCTTGTCTCAATAACAAAAACTGAACCTGTTGCTCATGAATAAATCGCGTATGACTAATAGCAAAATTTCCGCAGCCTACTGCTGAGAACCCGGTAGCACACAACGATTTTAACATATAACATAAAAGCAGACATACCAGATATTTCTGCAGGCTTTCTTACATATTGCACGGCCGTGTTAGTATTGATTGCCATGCCAGGAACTGTTGTGACAAACGGGCGAATAGTGGTCAAGGGTTTCAGGTTTTGCGACCTTTGTTGAATGACCGCTTGAGCGTCTGAACATGGCTGAGCCTGTAGCACTTGCACAAGTCCTGATCCACCAATAAAATTCTGCTTTGCCGGAAGTGTTAGCCTTACACTGACAGGAGGTTGGGTCATGGAACTGAAGTGCAGCAGTAAAAAGGAGGGTGAAGTGATTGGTGAGTACACATGGATGCCCTGATAGCATCGGAGATCAAGACAACAGAATACATGAGATTACTATTAAAATATGAATCTAACGTCCACTTATGAGTAACTTGAATTGCCGCGTGAACTCACAATTTGAATGTGGGTGCAGATCCGTACAATTCAAAACCAGAAAGTGAGAGTAGTGTAATCAGTTAAACAAATAGATACTCCATGATCTACAAAATGTAACTCATCCAAAAAAGGGGAAAAAATGTAATTTTAATAAATTCAATCACAACCCAATGGCTTTCATAGCTAACGATTTTATTATTTTCTCCATAATTACAAGAACAATTAAATAATGAAAGCATCGGTTGAAGACCCTAAACATATCAGATATTTGCATACTTTAACTACGAGTAATCTAATGCCCACTTCCACATAGAATCCCAAACAAATGTTTTGAAAATTTAGTTCATCTGCATCAAAAGGCTTATATTATTATCAGATGTACTTTATCTATTGTACTCCCGAAAAATTTATCCTCTTTTTCCTAGCTTATGTTCATATTTGACAAAATGCAACAGTACACTTCGAATTAACCCATCTTTTTAAGAAGATATGTTGTAATTATACAGTACACTAAAGTATAACACTTTGCGAAACTTAGTTCTAACGATGTTGGTTTCTTTTCTATTGTGTTCAGTGTAAAATGTGATCGATAAACGAACCCACCAGCACTACACTAACTTTTCTTGACCTTGTATGACTGTGTCCTATTTATTACCAATCACAATTCGATGTTTATTACGAAACAATATTTGCCCTGTTGACTCATTTTTCCTACTCTCTAGCTACTGTGCGGTACGTTATTTATGTCTCCTTTTTTCCCTGTGTTTATAGACTGTACTTTTGTTTTGTACACTAACAGTGTTAATTTACGTTTTAGAAACAGACAAAGTTTATCGAGCCAAATTGCTTACTTGTTCTCACTTTGGCTGAACCAAGACTCTGTATTCGACAGTCTAGAGATTAGCTTAGACTTGAATCTGTAGGAAATTGCTCCCTCAATTCGGTGTGACGAAGAGCTTGAGAGAACTATGAGTTTTTTTCTAGCTCTGCTTCTCGTTCCCTTATTAAAGTTTTTATCATGATTATTTTTTTAACTTTTTTACTGCAAAGGTATGCGCACTGCATTCTACACTTATCTAAACATTAGGAACCATCGTCTATTAACTGGACAGTATATCGGAGTTGTCCTTAGTCATGCAAGAATGTTTTAGGGAGATAAAGATATGATAATATGAGATTCAGAGTTGGTTGCAGTTCTGGCTCTCCGTAAACTGTCACTTTACGTTCAGACGATTATTGCACTATTTAGATTAGACAGGCCGAAGAGCAAGCTTCCACTACAAGTTACGTTTTGAATAAAAATTGTCCAAAGAGTCTCGTTACTACAGGGGATCCCATCAAAAATAAATTCAACACCATGCATCATTGTAACCAGGTCTCACTACTCACGGGCTTCTAAACTACTCAAGTACTTTCCCGCATTCGAACAATTTACTTAATGCAAAATGTCGACTGAGAAAAACTAAAACCATAGATTAGTGTTAGCGTTTCATGATACAGAATAACATTAAGTAACCACAAAAGCCTGATGTCATTTTTAAAATGGTAGGTTACAATCAAAAACACTAATTCACTGATAAGTCCTAGACACAACTGTGGCGTCTGTGTATACAAATTTTTAACAAAACAATAGTCTTCTCTCTCGTTAACGATGGAGCACTGCATATTTGTCAACAGGATCAACTGGTCAACATTTGGACTGTTCGTATAGATTAAGTCTTTTCTATACTGACGAGAATGGGATAAACGATCGATTGAAATCGTGCAAAGGGCTCTAATCAAAGTTGCCAGTGTATCCAAATGCTTACATAACATTCTGGAAATTAATAAATGGTTATTTCCTCTCCCACTTCAATAGACCCACCGCTAATGTAGACCTAACGGAATTTCCCATATTCCACAGCTCGCATACTTTTGATTGTGTAATCAATCCATCAATTTTCTAAATATAATTCAATATGGTGATGACAGCTGGGTTGATTTTTTCCCGCAGAATTAGCACAATTGTCTATTTATTTCTGTACAAATAATTAAGCTTCACAGACTACTGATAGCTTTCTGCCTATCTTGTTGTCATTTTCTTCCTCTTTTTTCAATATTACTGCAAATAACTGTGAAACGTTTACGCCAGTTTGAACCATAAACCTCGAATAAGCGTTGGTCAAAGTTGCAGTTTATCCGAAACGAATTATTTCTAGCTCTATAAAGACTAAAAGCCTAACATACTGCTTTGTTCACATATTTATTTAATCCAGAGCTTGAAAATCCCTGTGAAGTTTTCGCTATAAGGTTTCCCAATGTACTGCCGCTACCTTTTTAGTAAACATAATAGTGTTGTAAGCCCTCCGTGAATCCACATTGTACATTATTGATTACGCCTGAAAAAATAGCGTGAACGCACTCTGTAAGAAACAAATATGTATAACTGTGGATCCCTAAAAGTATTTTCTTTATAACAAATTATAGAAGCGTGACTCCTTACATACCCTACAAATCGCGAAAACCTACGTTCTAAAAACAAGGATATAAACTCGAGCTAGGAGCTTAGGTTAAGAAAATAATTAAACAACGCATAAATATTAAAAGCAGTGGATATATGCGAAATCAGTTATTTTAGTAGTATTTATGATAATTTATGATGATCTAAATTATTCACCTTCTACAGTTCGACACTCTACAGAAAACAGCAGTGTAAGATATATTTTTACTGATAATATATGTTAACGAACTATAAAAACAACTGTAACAGGGGTTATTTAGATATTCATCGAACTGATCTTTTAGCTGAATTCGAATATCAGCCAATAAATCAAAACTCAGTAAATGAACACTATTTGAAAAGTAGTCTGCATTAATCATAAGGGATATATATGAATCGATTTCGAATGCAAGTGTCAGTGAATAGTGGTAATGGAATGAGCACGTCTTAGCCAGGTTATTTACGTTAAATATGGCGCTACACGCTACACTCTACTTCCTTGTTGTAACTAAAAAACGCTGAAAATCCCTCCACAATATTTCATTGGACAGTATTGCCGTTTATCTATCTCTTCTCTTTGTCTTGTATATTAACCTTGAATCAGATCTCGCTCAACTCCATTTAATATTCCTCCGTCTTCCCGGCCTGAGATTTTATTATGTGGTTTTGGCTAAAGACTTACCCTTCGTTACTTAAGTTTACTGTCGCATGTTGACGGACCATTGCCAATATGGCCGTGCTTGATTAGGCTCAGGTCCATGACGTGGTTCAATGTGTGTCTGTTAGCCTATGACTGTCCACTTGGAAAGGTTTTCGGAATCCTTGCAGACGGGTATCCGACCCAATCTTGTTGAGAATATTTTTATTGATCCTCAGGTATCGAACTCTTGTTTGTTAACTATTTAATAATAATAATAATAATTTATTCTCAAATAACAGTTTGTTACATGAGGCATGCAAGTTTACAGGCAAGATCAAATTGATACAAATGATACAATATCCACTGTAGTAAATTACATAGCTGGGTTGATAATTTATAAGATATGAATGTAGATGGTTTTAATCAGTACCACAGTTCGCGCGCTTCATGGAAGTTGCGTTGCAAATGTGCAACTGATGGTCAAGGATAGGTCCATTGACGGTGGGAGCTTCTAAATGTCGCATCCTTATGTCCCTTTGGAATGTCTAAGGCTTTGAGGATGGTGCAGGATGAAATCTTTCGTTCCATATCACAGGGGGGCTGAAAGAGGGAGAAAGTAAAAGAAAGGACGAGAGGCAGAGTAGCCAATATTCATGAAGGAATGTTTAAGATAGGATTACTCAGTCTAATTTTCCTTTATTAAGGTATTTGTTAAGAAAGAGCATTTTAACAGGTTAAAGAAAATAAGTGTTAACAAGGTGTGAGTGGACATACAACTGGCAAATGGAGGCGATTCGGAAAGGAGCTGAGAGTATGGGATTATGTGTGGTTATAAAATAAAATATAGTGCTAGAAACAGTATTGTGATATACAATTGGCTATTTTCCTTTTATTATCGAAGCTATTAGAGCCCCTTTCGTTTTTTTTTGTATTATTACTTTTTTTCACGTATCATATGGTCTTGAGTAGGCTTCGTATATTAGCGAATTGTCTAGTTTGCTTGTAATAGGACTACTGGGTAGGAAGTGAAACCAATTCAACGTTCGTAACACGATTTAAAGAGGTATTTTGCGTGATAAAACAGCTTCAACACTATAAGTTCGTGACATCCCATTAAACCATAAGGAGCCGTAATTAAACAAAATATTCTGCCCTACAGACATGGGTGGATCGAGTTTATCTCCCCACCATCATGTTTGCTGGTCAGTAACGCCACCCTCCCTCCTTTTGTGATGTTAGGCTCTCTTACGTTTGTGGTAAGTATGAATACTGCTTTAATCAAAGCCCATGGTTGGAATATACTGTCTCTACTAGGTCCATGTTACAAGCAAATCAGATAGTTGAAAAGTCTGTTTTATGGGTTAGATGTCCACATAGTATATCACACCGTTATGAAAATAACTAATGGTTTATAGAAGTAAGGACTAGTGGCAAATCAAAAGATATGAGAGGGTATAAAATTGTAGAAAAGAAGAAAGATTTTAGGGTAAGAAAAATAAAACATTGAAAAACTCACAAGACTTTGTGGCCAGATTTTGAGCTTTGTATGATCGGGCTTAGTAGATCACCATCCATAAGATTGAGCTATCTGTCTACTTGCAGTAGAAAAAAAGGCATGACTTTCAGGAAGAATAATGTACATTTAACTTGTAGAGATTCGGGAACTCAAAGCTATGGTTAGAAGCATTAGGCTATTATTAATAAACAATGAATAATAGGAAAGGATAAGCCATATATTCTGTGATTTGGTTATATTCATATTAGCAACAGTCGAACTTGTTATAATCTTGTTCTTTCTAGATACTAGGCGGTCCGTAATAAAGTGCCTCATTGGTGGGCGGGAGTTCAAGGAAATGTTGAAGCTCTTTGGAGTCTAGAAAAAGGACTATTAGCTTTTTGAATCTGGTAAACGTATCACAGTTACGGATAGG